TAATAAATTCAAATCACTAAATAATTAAACAATATCAAAAGCATTTGCAAAAAAAGAAAAAAAAGCTTTAAAATAAAAAAATTCCCTTAATCTTTAGCTTTCCAAAACTTTAATCACTGGATCAGCGGTTGGGAAGAATAGTTATTTCCAATATTCCGATAAAATAAAAAAAAAAACAAAAAAACAGGAATTTAATTTAAGTCTTGAACATATTAAAATCTTTTAAAGGCATTTTATTTCAACATTTCCCTGACATGATGAAATAGTATTTGATGTAAAAAGCCGGACCAAAATATTAGCTGTTAAATAAAATTTAGTTGTAACTCAAATGTATCAATTGATTTAAACTGTAAATTAAAAAAAAGAGGATAATTCCTCACTAAAATATTACATGATTTACATTCATACTCACAATCAGGAAACATATACAGTTCCTACATTTTCTTTGTTCTGTTCTGTCACCTAATATGTATAACGCATTTTTTTTTTTTAAATATTTCACAAATAATAAGAAAGTCCTTACATCACTAAAACTAATCCATAAATGAAATGCCTAAAAAGGAAGTCGTGCATTAATTATAAACATTGCACTGACAATAAAACTAATTCTTAAATACAACCAATGAAGAGATCATTTGAGCCTTGAGCACTTTACAATATTCTAAGTTTGTAAGAGAATGATAATCCCTTACTTCATGATAAGTACTCGCTAACGCTCGTACTTAATCATGAAGAAAGGGATTATCATTCTATTACATATACTTTGACGATAAAGAAGAGATGTAGTCTAGCTTTAAGTCCTCTAGGGTGAAATCAGTCCTGTAGTCAGCGGGTTATTATGCCTTTGACGATAAAGAAGAGATGTAGTCTAACTTTAAGTCCTCTAGGGTGAAATCAGTCCTGCAGTCAGCGGTCATACTTTAACAGAGTCTGGTAACATGATTTATAACATTCTTTTAAGGCTTGGCTAACATGTTTGAAATACATAATGTTATTGTTTGCTCACAACGCTTTGGTGTCTACCGATTACACCTTTTCATCCCTCTCTCTTTAAAAAATAGAAATAAATTAATTGTCGAAATGCAAATCTGACGCCGTAAAATTAATACCGTTAATGATATTACAGACTTAATAGGAAATGAAAGAGGTATGGATTGATAGCAAATGTGTCAAATATAAACCAAAAGATAAATCGACAAGAATGTAACCACACGGAAATTAGTCACTCAAACATTATTCTTTATCAACAAGGAAGAGACGCCATCTACCGCTATTGGAAAAATAACGGAAGATAAAAAGCCTGCCTAAATTCTTGACTATAATCTAATTTTCGTTATGTCACATAAAAAAAACTAATGACAAAGCGTCGTTTAGAATATAATGTGTACAAGGGTAACACCTAGGTGGTTAATGAGCTTTATAATTTTTATAAAGATATTTTTGGGACAAAATGTCGAAGACAATTATATAAGAAACACTTAAAAGACCTATTCTTTGCCATAATTCCTATCCACGTTAAATTATTTTGCACTTCCAAACGATTATTTATACATCAGACCGTACTGGTTACGGGAATTTTGGATACATCAAACCTCATTCATACATTTTTGTATCATCCAAAATTATCAGTCAACATGTTTTCTACAAGGATCACCAGACCTTCAACTTTCGTCTGATACCTTAATTACTAAAATATATTCAACATGTTTTTTATTTACACCTATGCATAGAAACTATTTTGTTTTAAATATGTACTACTTTCCAGTATGTTCTTTTCTGACCTGGCCCGATTTGGTGTTGTTATGGCTTACAAAGTCTATCCAAATTATTTTTGCAAAGAATTCCGCTCAAGCCGATGTTAGGGGACGTCTAAAATTTGCAGTGAGATGATTTTTTTTTTTTTTTGCTGCGTGTTGAAGACATCACTGTAACTTTAAGATGAAGATCAGCAATAAAAGCGCTGTTCCTTTGCTTTTTGTGTGATTTTTGCTGTGCATGTATTGATTTTTTGATGGATAGACACCCAATATCCTTTGCTTTTCTGTCAGTCGTAGTGTGTCATTAAGGATGTACTTAGGTGAAATTAAAAAAAATCTAGAATTTAAAATTGATGCGTTAAGTCGGAAGAGCATTAGTTAAGGAACAAAATAAGCTAAAAATATTAATAGGTTATGGAGCTCCTTTTCGAAATATTTGATTTTTTGAAAATGACGGGAAAAGGCTGACTCGGACTTTTACCTTATCTTTGCATTGGTATTATTTGGGTCTAAAATCGAAAGAAAGAAATCAAGAACCTGCTTAAATTTTGGTAAATGACCTTTTATGAGCTATTAAAGTCTTATATGAAAAGAAAAATGGGTGTTATGGGGCAAAATATTTTACCCTGTATTGTAGGAAAAAAAAAACAAGGAGTCCGAACATCTGACATAAATTCCTAAACCTCACTTAAGTACATCCTTAAGTTACTTAGTTACGTAAGAAAAGGATATTTTGCAAATATTGCTTAACACAGCTTAAACCTCTATGAACCATTCAACTGCATATCAATATAATTATATAGATATCAAAACCAAAAAGTGAATCCTATAAGTTTTCCTTGCATATAAGAAGCGGAACAAACCGATGCAAATTTGTTCAAAGGCGGAACAAATACTTTCCTTTTGGCTATAGTTCGTACTGTATTTCAGAAATTTAAGTCATTATCAAAAATTGAAAATTAAATTTACAATTTCCATTGGTCATACAAAAACAAATGCTAACAATAACAACTTGTTAGTTTTAAATGTGTTTTATGAATTTATTTCAATTTTTTATCATCAATTTCTTCGTCTGTTGAAACTTTTAAGATTTTTTCTCAGTACCGTTTTGTTTTTTAAAAAAAAATCAACAATGACGAGCAGGAAAAATGTATTATTAGTTACATAGTGTGCTAGTGGCGTAATACGGTAGTATATGGGGTCAGTAAATTCCATATGGGGTGAGAGCGAAGCTCGAATTTCCATATGGAATTTACTGACCCCATATATACCGTATTACGTCACTAGCACACTATGTAACGACTTTATCTTACCGACTATCTTAACATGTGGTATTTAGACTAGTGACCTAACAAAGTGAGCAAGTCTTCAATACCTTTAGCATTAAGAAACTACTTCCATTGGTCATACAAAAACAAATGACAACAATAACAACTTGTTAGTCTTAAATGTGTTTTATGAATTTATTTCAATCTTTTATCATCAATTTCTTCGTCTGTTGAAACCTTTAAGATTTTTTCTCAGTACCGTTTTGTTTTTATAAAGGGACGCAACACCACTACTAACCGTGTATTGAAATAAGCCCCGCCTACTAACCTAATATGGAATATACACGGTCTCCACGCGGTTGCTTTTAACCAATCACATTCCTAGAAATGTATAGGAGGTGAGATAAAATAAGATATCTGCTGCAATATATGAACCTTTTAATGAAGATATTCGAATGAGCATACAAAAAAGAAAAACGGGATGGTAAATTTAGAAAATTTACAGTTAACTCCCTTTGCATTTAAGTTTTTGTTATTACGAAAAGACGTTAAGCAACCAACAATCAATCAATCAATATTACGAAAAGTTACAGTTATTATTTCACAGATACAACTTCTATGCATTATCCTATTTTATCAAGATAAAGATTACTGCTTAATATCAAGTCAATATTTTTTTTATAACATTTGTTTAGTAGATCAACTTAATACCCCTATAGACCAATTTTAATTCGTATTTCAGATATTTATATTTTTAATTGATATGCCTAGATAAGGTAAGAGTTGATTAATATTTCATAACAGATATCTTGTAGACAATCAAAATTTCACAAGATAAAACGGAATGTTGGGTGAGGGAGTGTCAGGTTTTCTACATCACCTGAATATGACATCACTAACCAAAACGTATTATTCATTTTGACGCCAAGCAAAACTTGACTTAAAACTTGAATTAAAAGTTTTGCTGTTAAAGACTCAACTTTGATAAAAAGATGTAAATTTGAATTATTCCTACGAATCTGCAAATAAGAACCAATCCCTGTTTCAAAACACATCTCGAGTGTATTCTTACCAAGCAGAGATAATCTTTGTTTTTATTATATAAAAGCCCCAAAAATAACATGAAGCAGTAAATGTAACAGTTTGGAAGATCCAAACGGAAAATCCATATGATAATACACGTTTAAAAAGGAAGACAACCCTATCTCCCACATAAAGGTATCTTCCAAATAAAACTAAAAATAAAGAAATAGTTGACGTTCGAAGTGATATTACATAAATAATTACACCATACAAACCAGTTTTGAGTATGAAGAAAAATAATCAGTATATTTTATTCTATTTTCCAGGTATATAGACAAAATGAGATACGATTTAACGATCCTAGTACTGACAATTGTCCATACAGTTTTTGTGGAACCAGAAAAATATTTATCATGTCATTACCAAGTAATTCATGATTCCAAAAATGATTCATTCGGAAATAGTTCTAATCATGGACCATTAATAGTTATAACTGTGAATGTTTTTTCTAGTAACGGGGAATGTTTTTTAAATCCTAAAGCCATTACAGATAAATATATAAGACAGAATTATTTTCAATGGGTTACGATGGAATTTTTTTGTTATGGCAATGCACCAATATATTTTATATTCCCTTCCGAAATAACTGTTCCGTTTAATACTTTTGGTATGGTTTTTATAAAAGACTGCCAATTTGATGGCCGCCAGATCAATTTGTTATTAGAGTTAACCAATTCGAGACATTTATTCCTCCAAAACAACAACATTCTTGATTTGAGAACGACAATTGCACCACGGTTTCTTTGCGCATTTAAACAGTTGATAGTTTTGGGAATTTTTGATTTAAAAGGCTATGTAATGGAAACATTGGATCATCTATTAAGTTGTGAAGCTACACTTCCTAATATGCAAGAATTTTTGTTATCTTCATGCGGAAACGGGACAATTTAGCATAGAAAAGCCTGTTGAACTAAAGTTAACAGACACATACACAGAAATGAGAAGTAACACTTCAAAACAAAGAGGAGGAGATCCAGGATTTCGGTATTTGAAAATGTTTAACTATTTAATGTCGAATGTTGGACAGATCAGTGGAGTCGAACTGCGATCAAATTCTTTGAAAGATTCTAAACAGATTCATAGTTCTGGTCATGTAAATTCTGTAAAGATAACACAAAATTATTTGCGTAAAATAACAGCAGATATAACAGCTGACGCTGAAAGATTACAAATCATAAGCTTTAGTCAAAACAACATTTTGGAAATTAAAAATGACACATTTAAAGGTCATTTTGATGTTGAACACATTGACTTGAGTAATAATACATTACGCTCATTACCAGATAAAAATTTTTATAACATGCACAAATTGAAATTTGTTAGTCTCGCAAGAAATATATTAACAACATTACCAAGAAATATTTTCTCAACGCTTAATGAATTGAGCACTTTAGATATGGAAGGAAACAGTATTACTCATATAGAAATAACTCACCTTCCTTTCAATAACTTTCAACTAAGCTATATAAATCTAAATTACAATCCGATCATTAAATTACCAGTGGCAATATTTTATATCCAGGGTTTGAAGACAGTTGACTTGAAATACACAAAAATTACTTTTTCTGCATTATGGTCCATTTTGGAAACAATTGACATCTTATCGTTATTAATAAGTATTGCACCTGTAGTAGATATTTCTAACGATATAGTTTCGAATTTATTCCCAGAAAAAGCTACAGATTTTGTATGGAGAAACGTGGATTTAACAGGATGCAAGGTTTCTGGATTTGATTGGACCGAGGAACAGCGTACAGCTCTTACTTTTGCAAAAACTAAATTGAGGATAATTCTGTCATATTTTCGTTTTGTTTTAACGGATAATCCAATAGATTGCTTTTCAAATAATATAGTTTTTCTTATAGATCTGGTAAGCATTAATCGCAAAAACGGTATTTTTTCTGGAAACGAATATTTTTTCAATGAATGGCGTTGTGAAAATCCTATCGAATTTCGCGGAAGACTACTTTTTAAAATCAAACCAGAAGAGACATATTATAAGATGCATGACACTAACTGTCCAAGTGAATGTGCATGTTTCTTTCGCTATAACAAGAGTATTACAATAATTGATTGTAGAGGTGCGAATTTGTCATCTGTACCGGAATCTGTACCTCCAGGGCTCATTGATATGTGGCTACAAAACAACAATATATCAATGTTGAATTTTAGAGCATATTTTTACAACGTGAGACAACTTTATATGTCTAGCAATAGTTTAAGAGTGATTTAAGATAACGTTTTCAGTGAAATGAAAAAATTGAAATTTTTGAAAGTTGACCGCAACGTTTTAGGTTATTTACCGAAAACCATTAGAAGTCTCAAATTAGATGAGATGTATATAGACCATAATCCTTTACTATGTGATTGCAACTCATTGTGGCTCAAGTATTGGATGTTGGACAATATACTAGCATTTAAACGACTTGAACATATAACATGCAGAAGTTTCAACGGAATAAAAAAGTTCTTGCAAGTACCTGATGAGAAATTCACATGTGTAAACAATTTTGCAAAGAGTTTTGTTGCTGAAATTCTAGGAACACTATTTGGAATAGCAGCAATGTGTTTGCTAACGATAGCAATAGTCTTTAGGCAATCAATAAAAGTTTTACTATATTTTAAGTTTGGTTTCCACCCATTTGATCGTCAGTCTTGCGAAGATTATGAGACAATTGATATAACATTCGTTTACTCTAAGATGTATGAAGATTTCATACAGGAGAAGTCGAAAATTCTAGAGAAATTTGTCGTATGTTACACAACAAAACATTTTGTCCCTGGGTATCCTTGGGATACTAACATTAGAAACGCAGTTCACCATAGCAAGTACGTATTAATTTTATTGAAGCTAATATCATTAATTCGACATATGCAGCATGCGAACACAAATTCGAAAAAAGGATAGATTTTCTTTTAGGGTTCATAAAGACAAAAAGAAACATAGATGAATTCAACGTAAGCGAAGGCTTTAAAAGATATTTCAAACTACATCAGAAGTTAAAACCCTATAGTATGTTGTTTTGGGAGAACATCAGCTATAATCTTGCGTCATCTAAGGACGGAATTCGGAAAGAAAACTATATTGAGTTGAATCAGAATATTGAAGAACAGTTATTTTGCGAAAGCAATGTTCGTAATACTGAAAGCAATTATGAAGCCTATGATGCATTTATATGTTATTTGGATGAAGATCAGAATTATTGTGAAAACAAATTGAAAAAGAAGTTGAAAGAAATCGACAGCTATAAAATCATCTCTATTGATCAAATTCATCCTGGTGAAGAACTGGTTCCTGCTATTGCAAAATGTGTAGATAAGTCGAGACACACTATTTTTGTTGTATCTAATAATATCGATGTGTTGCAATCAGTACAAACACGTGCGTTCACAATGGCACACATTAAAACCGACACAGAAATTGACAATCATCTTATCATCGTGTTCAGAGGGAGAAAAACAAGCATATTATTGAATGAAAACTTCGAAGATTATTTTCAAAAATATGTATTTTTAGAACATGTCGAGGAGGACGAAGCAAACGAGGATGAATTTTGAAGAAGATTGAAAACGGCTCTTAAATCAAAGCGTCTGGCCAATGGCGCTCCTTTGGATTTTATAATGGAGGATGATTTAGTTGAAGACCAAACAATCGGCATTTCCCATGACATAATAATATTATGAAAATACGGCTATTGCTTGAACTGTTATAAAACTTTGAAATAATTTTGTATTAAGGAATGTACCTCATTCATGCATACATCTGATTCCTTGTCAGATATTGGCAATACATTTGATCATTTTTGATTTTATCAGCTTTCTAACGTTAGTAATAAGTTGAAGTATTCCAATATTTTGGCCTTGATCATGACTGAAGATACATAAATTGTCCAAATGCTGGTGCAGTAACAGTTGTACCGTTTATGTTATTCAGTTCTAGTTGAATAGTCGTATGTACATGATTGATTTAACTTTAATAGATTAAGTATAAAATACAATTCAACTTGAGCAGATAGAAAAGATGAACAAGAGAGAAGACAAAACAAAATAATTATTGTCCGTTTTGCAATATATAAAGCCAATAGCAGAAAGTATGCTATAAATAATGAAAGACTAAGTACATACATATACAAATTAGCTAGGAGATATAGTGTGAACGCAATTATACAACTATCCACCAAAGTTCAAATTAAGTGGATGTAAACAATAACAAAGGGAACTGTGCAGCCTTTAATAATGAGGAAAACCCATAGCGTATAGTCGGCTATAAAATCTCCGACATAAAAAATATGAAACAATTCAATCCAAAAAAATAACGGCCTAATGTATAACAAATATGACAAGTAAGTACAATATGCTTTGAAATAGTTCTGTTTACAAATCAACACGTGGATTACTAAAAAAAAAGTGTTGATTAAACTCAGTCTATATCATGTATATGTAAATGATCGAACATTCTCTTTCTACATCAATTTTGGTTTTACATTATCAAATGTAGACGGTCTTAATCTAATTCCCACAAACATTTGTGTATTTACCTATTTACAACAATAAGTGAACAATGTTTATGAATTAGTCTATAAACAAGAAATATATTTTTTTTTCATTTGCAGATGTATTTATTTGATGTGATCGTCGAAACAGATTAAAATGGCAGCTATGCCACTGAATAAGTATAAAGTATTACGCGGGATCTGACAAAGATAGGTGTTGAAATGTTCAGGTTAGAGTTTAACTATAGCTATACATTTTTATATTGCAATCCAGGATTTGAATACATTATCTAATTCGATTAAATCTGTCTTCCATATTCGGCTTTGAGCTTTCCTGATGAAGGTAAATCAAGAAGAGCGCGTCGGACTCATGAAATTTATAACGTGTTTTCATTTTTTTTTCCAGCTACAAAAGTTTAAAAAGAAGAAAATAGTCAACCATTGAAGAACGTGAACGAAATGTCATTTTTAGATAAAGATTTTTTTACATATTTGATTAACTGTTCTTTATAACATACCACGATGTTCCAATTATGTTTGATTTCTGACCTTTGAATACACGAATACCCACATTAATTTGATACTTTTCTCGGGTTTGGCTTTCTGTGTTTGCCCTTTTTGGTTTTGCCAGCTCTTCAAAATAGAAATAAGGAGATGTAGTATGATTGCCAATGAGACAACTATCCACCTAGGTAGGTTCAAACAAAGTGAATGTAAGCAATTATAGGCAACCGCACGGCATTTAGAGTCTGTAATTGACTTTCTTCGATTTTGGCTTCGAGTATAACTGAAGAGACCTTTACTGCTGAAATGCGAATATGAGACAGTGAAATTGGTACTGTTAATATTATTTCTACCACAGGGTTGTTACCTCAACTGGCGGACTGTTATTCCCCAAGGGTATCACCAGCCCAATAGCCAGTAAATTTGTCATCATTCTGGCATGAAAATATGGATATTATTATACCTTACATATATTATAAACAATTCTATTAGGTAACAAGTTATCACGTGACATGGAATAATTCACTTGATTGTCATTTAATTGCAAGGAAGGACGCATAACCCTAAGAATTTATACCAGCAGTGAATAACCCTATTATTCACCGGCGAATAACCTTTTGAGTTTTTTTATTTGTACACGAGTTATCTCCCATGAAAATGACGTCACAGACGTTTCGTGCGCACTTGTTTCCAGTAAGCCGGTCATGCGCCGGTTATGTGGTCGGCCTACGCCTATTCGTGCGTGAAACAAGTGGAACGGCTTATATACCGGCAAATCTAACATGGCTGCCCAAGGACCATTACTACCAGCTATAAAAGGTTATGGCCTATTCCAGCTGTTTGAGGACGACGAAGAAGAAAAATTGCAATTATATCTTTTACAGACTGAATTGTGAGATTTTTATTAAACGTTCAAAACTGTAACAAAAACGTTCTATAGAGCGACAAAGCATTTATATTGCTCAATTATTAACAATTAACAACAGGATAATAATAATAATAATAATAACAATAAATACTTTATTTATAAAGAGTGACTACAATTAGTTACAAATACTAATCTTCCCGGAGGCCCTCGGCAATTCTAGTACAGTATATAAATACAAATGTTAGTTTGTTTAGTTAGGTTTTATGCCGTTTTCAGCGCATTTTGGCTATTTCGCGGCGTCCAGTTTTTATTGGTGGAGGAAGCCGGAATACCCGGAGAGAACCACCGACCTTCGGTAGGAAAATTGGCAATCCTTGTCAATTAAGATCGGAGTCATACACACCCCGCCACAGGTGAGATTCGAACTCACAACCTCAGTTGTATACAAATACAAATAAAACTTGCAATCAAAAGATAAAAAATTTAAAAATCAAATTAGAAAGCATATGCATTTTGTACACCAAAACAAGATCATTATTGAACACTAATTGTTGTTTTGTTGCTGAAATAGGTATAAGCAGAATATTTTCTCTTGAATGCATCTATGTTCTGGGCATATTTTATTTCATGTGAAATATTATTCCATAAAACGGCAACCGAGTACTGAAATCTGTTTTCGGGCGTCGAAGTTAGCCAGTTTTAGCTGATCGTGAAGAGTAATCCGTTGATTCCGAACATTTTATAAACTGTTTACGTAAATAAATTAATTGGTACATTTATACCAGTGATTTATACATCAATACTCCCTTATGGTTTATTTTATGCTTTAACCAACAAGTTTTTAAATAAAAGATTTGATGAGATAGGAGACCATTTAAAACTGTAGCAATAATATATGTCACCGTAATGTGTCAAATCAGTTATATTTTTATAATTTCAATGTAAATAGACCTTAATATAGTATTGTTTTAATTTCAGGGAGAGTGCTCGAAAGGAGAGAGTGAAAACTCAGGGTTATTTTGAAGTACCTTGCTATCTACCAGACACTTTCCAGAGGTTTTTTTTAGAGTATCTCGAAATACTTTTGAAATTTTTGCCAACAATCTAGGTGCATGTCCGGAAATGCGTACACGTGTATATATAGGTGGTAGAGAAGAACTCCCACTCCATAAAAAAGTCTTGCTGGTTCTGCGTTACCTTGCGTCTCAAGAGACTATCTTGGAAATAAGTGACAAGTTTAATGTGACTGAGTATACTCTTTTGAAATATAGAAGACAAGTTTTAGATGCAGTCTATTACAACATGATGGATTATAACTTGGCCGACGCAAAATGAATTATCCAATGTCGCTCAACGGTTTAACGACATGGGTCAAAATCAATTTCCAGGGATAATTGGTGCTATAGATGGCACACATATACCGATAAAGGCCCCAAGAGAAAACCCACAAGCCTACTTCAACAGAAAGAAATTTCACTTGGTGATTCTACAAGCAGTTTGCAAAGACAATATGGAAATCATAGACATCAATGTTGGATAGCCGGGTCGTGTTCACGTGGGAAGATGGAGATAGAATTTCAGGGTATGGACGCTTCTAATTGGAGACGGAGCCTATCCATTGAAGAGATGGCTACTTACTCCATTTCGAGATAACGGGCATTTGACCGCCAAACAGAAAAAAATCAACAATAGTCTATCTTCAAAGAGACAAGTGATTGAAAGAAGTTTTGGACTTTTAAAGGGCCGTTTTAGGAGACTTAAACACATCAATATGATTGATTGACATTAAAGAAATATGCAATGTTGTATGTACAGCAGTTGTTTTCCACAATA